AATGCAATCCCTATTAAAATACCAATGGCATATTTCACAGAGCTAGAACAAATACTTCAAAAACTTATATGGAATCAAAAAAGACCCCAAATAGCTGCAGCAATCTTGAGAAAGAAATCCAATGTTGGAGGGGTCACAATACCAGATTTCAAGTTATACTACAAAGCCACCACAATCAAAACAGCCTGGTACTGGCACAAGAACAGGCATATAGATCAAAACAGAACAGAGAACCCAGCAATCAACCCAAGCAATTATGCTCAATTAATATTTGACAAAGGAGGCAAGAGCATACAATGGGGTAAAGGTAGTCTCTTCTATAAATGGTGCTGGGAAAACTGGACAGGTACATGCAAAAGAATGAAACTAGACCACCAACTTATACCATACACAAGAATAAACTTAAAATGGACTAAAGACTTAAATATAAATTGGGAAAACATAAAAATCCTAGAAGAAAACAAAGCAACAAAATATCTGAAATCTCATGTAGCAGAATTTTCACAGATACATCTCCTGGGGCAAGAGAAACAAAGGAAAAAATAAACAATGGGACTAGTATTACAGGCATACCTCAGTAAACAAGAAAAAGCTCTAATAAACGATCTAACATTACAACTAAAAGAATTAGAAACAGAACAACAAGAAAAGCCCAGAGTAAGCAGAAGGAAGGGCATCAAACTAAAAAACTTCTGCACAGCTAAAGAAAGCTGTCAAGTTGAAAAGAGAACCCACTGCACGGGAGAACATTTTTGCCAATGATACCTCTGGTAAGAGGTTAATCTCAAAAAAAACACACCCCCAAACATATATATAAAGGACTCATACAACTCAACAAAAGGAAGACTAGAGCAGAAATAAATGGCAGAGACAAAAAAAATACAAAAATAATCAATATAACCATGAACTGGTTCTTTCAAAAGATAAACAACATTGATAAAGCTTTAGCTGGACTCATCAAGAAACAAAGAGAGAGGACCCAAGTAAATAAAATCAGAAACAAAAGTGGAGAAGCAAGCACTGACACTACAGACATACAAAGGATTGTAAGAAAATACTATGAACAAACTATATGCCAACAAGTTGGACAATGTGGATGAAATGAACAAATTCCTAGAAAAATACAATCTCTCAAAACTGAATCAGGAAAAATCAGAAAACCTGAATAGGCCAATAACAACTGATGAAAGAGAAGCAGTAATCAAAAACTCCCAGCAAACAAAAGCCTGGGTCCGGAATTCTTCACAGAGGAGTTTTACCAAACATTCAAATAAGAACTATCACCTATACTCCTCAAACTATTCCAAAATATCCAAGAAAAAGGAACACTTCCAGGCTCTTTTTATGAAGCCAGCATTACCCTAATCCCAAAACCAGATAAAGACACTACAAAGAAAGAGAATTACAGGCCAATACCCCTGATGAACATAGATGCTAAAATCCTCAACAAAATAT